CAAAAGCACAACACAGGCAGAGAGGGGGGAGATTATAGCTAGATCAGCACAAAAGAAACCCTTTGATTATGTCTGGAATATTAGCCGTATGTGTCTGGGGCTGGCTGAGTATCCCTCGAGGGATTAGCTTTGAGCCAGCCCACCTCTAGAACCTAACCTCGGGAACATACAAAGGAGTCTGACAGGATCCTTATTGTGGTCCTTGAAAGGATTTGAGACGTTACACAGCAGAGCACACCAGAATATTGCTAGCATGATCCTAGTAGGCAGCAAATATCACTATGCCTAACCATGTTTATATTCGGAGCATTTCAGCAGAGCAGGAGACAGTTTTACTCCTATATTGCATCTTTAATGTCTGAATCTTTTACATACATATACAATCATTATGAAGTTTTCTGTTTTAAATCTTATGCCTTATTGTGCTGATTAAAAGTATCAACTTTTGAAGGCATGTTATCTACTGGTAGACACCAGATGTGTTGTCTACTCATGAATCACAAAATTAATGTTGAGATCACAGCAGTTGACTTTCTTTCGAAATAAGAAGATTTAGGTGAGCTAGCAGCTAGCGATGGTTGGACTCCGGTGCACGTATTTACAGTATAGAAAAATCTGGTCAAAGAGGCGTTGCTGAAACTTGGAAACAAAGCCTATGCGAGAAAAACCAGGATGTGGAAAAAATAATGATAGACACTCTGGACAGATGAGTCAGAAGTTTAAAATATTTGGTTGTAAATTTATGGTAGAAGAAGAGCTAAGAGCACTACAACAGGCAGCGCTGAAGAATATAGATTCTTGAAGGTTTGGGTCTGGGGTTTTTTTGGCAAAGAATTGATCAGAATTAGTGGCAAATGCAGTTCTACTGTTCATAAGTCTGATCCAGATGCCTCCTGGATGATATTGTTAGTGGTTTTCTGTGCATGTTCTGAAAAACCAGAGTAGAACAACCTGCAGGTTTTTATCTATCACGATTGATGGGTTTTATTGACCCCCAAATTAATTTGTGCAGTGTGATAGCAATCCTGAGCATGTAGTCAGATTCGTGAAGATTTGGCAACGAGAAGAGCCGACAACAGATGGCATGGCCCCCATGGAGCCCCCAGCATCAAGGAGTCATTCTGAGATAACATAAAGAGGCAAGACAGACTAAATCCACAGAAAAGCTGCAGCAGGCACTCTAGGAAACACCTAATGACCTTCGTGCGAAGGACCTTTCAAAGATTGATGCTGTTAGAGGCATAAGGTGGTCACATCTCACTTAGCAATAATGTAAGTTTTGCACTGTGCATGAAGTCACTGACTGAAGTTTGATGTGGCTTTTTTATTTGTCAGATATGTAAAAGTAAACCCTGCATGAAATAAACATGATTGTTTGGACACACATTGTTATATGGTTTGAAAATCATCTCAAACTGGACTTTACCCTACGCTGGTGGGTTGTTTGGTTGGTTGTCCGTTTTATTTTGAACATGTAAATAAAATAAAATACATTGTACACAGTAAAATTAAAAGGGAAAAAACATTAATTTGGCATTGATATCTTAGTGTTTATCAATTTAAAAATAGACAATATACATATAGAACTACATATTCTGTTTTCTGCTCTCCCACTGTCACTTGTTATTTAAGCTTAGTTTAGCCTTCACTGAGAGCATCTACAGAGTACATGTGAATTATTGTTGGGTAATTATCAACGTGGCTGGAAAATCAGTTTGTTTAGTAGGATTGCATGTGTGAAACTACTCGATCTATAAGCATCTTCACAGCGTTAATTACAGCATTGTACATTTTGTAATCCGGTTCAGTTTGTACCAGAGCTGTAATTATTTTATTTTATCTCTGTAGCTGCTCTGCTGCCCAAAATAGTCATCTGTGAATTAATCCTTCTGCTCTCTACCAGCCAGGAGAAGCAAGGATGAAATCCACAGAAGATTCTTTTTTAAGTGACTCTCAAACACATTATGATAATGTAAAAAATATCTCTGATCGTCCTGATTTACATTTTCCACATTGTTTCTCATTTCTGTCGAAATTGTCCTTATGGGACTATGCGGCATGTTTGTTCTTCTTACAGCAGATATTGCTGTGAATGTGAGATAAAATAAAATCATTTCAGGCTGATAAAAATACAAATTGTAACTCTCTAAACAGTAGTGAGGCCGGGTAGACATGGTGCTAAATATGGACAGTTTTTAAACTTCAAAAGGAAACATCAGAGGACCTGAAATGCCTCAGTCATGAAAGCAGTAGGCCTATTTATACAGATGGTGAATTTTGAATATGTCGGTCCAGCAGCAGGAGGGGGAAAATGGTTACATTGTCACATCTCAAAATATGACAGACAACTGATGGGTCTTTGTTCCATCATCATTTCAGCCTTCATAGATCTCAAGACAACACTTTTTGGCAATTAGTCTAATGTTTCACTTCAGACGCTCTCCTCATCCTCTACTCTTTGTCTAGTCATATTCAATGACTGTCATATTCCCAGTGTGCAGGCAGATCGGAGCTCCTGAGTTTCATTCATTCTTCATGCTACTCGTCTACGTGCTGGTAGGTCTCTTTCCGGGAGTCTTAGCTCTTGTGTTTGTCTGAGGTTAGGTGCTCGGAGAAGTGATCAAACGTGTCGCTGCTGCTGATCTAAAGACACTGACACCTCCCCGGCACCCTCTGCCAACATCCTCCCTCCATCACTACCCCCATCCAAATAAATTCACACAAGATCACCGCCAATCCCCTGAAGGTTTACTGAGCAACCGAACTGATGCTGGCAAGCTCGTCTCAGTCTTTTCATGTCTTTCTTGCTTTGAGTCTTCTGGAGCAGCTCTCCAATTAAGCTACAGCTGATGCTCAGGTTGAAGGGAATAACTAATGTATTTATCTGCTCCTCGTTCAGCGTCCTGCTACTTCCTTTAGCTGACAAGGAGACGTCAAGTACTAGCTACTTGCAGTAAACAGTCACCAAAGATTGCTATAATTACAAAGTGCCAGAAGCATGGTCTCCAGCTGCTCTGATCTGGATGAATCCACATGCTCACAGTGGCAAACGCTAGCCAGTGGCCTACGGTACCCCATTCATCCTCTTTGCCCAGGGCTCTGGAAAGGGGGAACAGCAAGCCAGCTCCTCAATTAAATATAACCCTACATCAAACAGCCTGTCAACATGCATTAGTGGTCCTTTGTATAGATAAGAGGCCAAAATAAATTGCAAGTGCTATTATAGTCACTGTGGCTCTTATGAAATATTCTCAGAAGAACAAATCCTGCCATGCATGCTGATATTTTCTCTCTATTAAATCTTTTTTTCCTGACATAATTTATCCTTTTTAATGATTTATTTTGCTCTTTTGTGTGAATTGTTTCTCTTGTGTGTTTACCCTTTGCGGTTAAATTCAGGGTTGATATGAAGACGTGCTGTATGCTTGTCTGGTTGGTGCGGCATAAAAGAGATCTAATGTGACAGCAGCCGACCTTGGCGTGTGTGTGTGTGTGTCATATCACAGCAGAACCTTTTCCTGTCACACACATTGGATTTGGCAGCTCCTTTTATCACCTTCTTTTTGCTCCCGGTTTTTTTCCCCCCCTTTGCCTGTTTTTCGCATCTCTGCAGACTGACAGTGAAAATAGGTCATTAGTTAGATGGAGAATAAGAGATGGAAACAGGCAGGGGCGAGCTCTGTGTAAAAACTGCCATGCAATATTAATGATGCTGCAAAGTGCCAAACCTGCACTTTAACTATATGAAGTAGTCTGGAAGTACTGGAAGACTGTGGGTGTGGCTGTCCGATATATCTACATATCAGAACTGCCTTATTTTTTTGTGGCAAAGCAAACAAGGTGCTGGAAAGTTTCCTCAAAGATTTTTGGTTCATGTTGATATGATGACACAGTGACGGTGACTGTGGAGGCCATTTGAGTACAGTGAACTCACTGTCACGTTCAAGAAACCAGTTTGAAATTATTTAAGCTTTGTGAACTGTGGTCATTAAGAGTTGGACATTGTCATGAACAAAACTCAGGTAGGCTGTTGAGCCTAAGAGCCTTGATTATATTCTGTTTCGACACGGACATCTGAACATATGTTTGCCCAGTAGTCATTCCTGTTATACTTTAAAATCTGCGGCCTGTTGTGGATATATATTTGGTACATTTTTTTATCTAAATTTTAATCTAAATGCTCAGTAGAAAGATCCTGATGGACAATGCTGATGAAATTTACATAAATCGTACCCAACCAGACCGACCAATGCAATAAGTACAATGAAGGCCAAGGTGTGGCACAAAAATATTCTCCGCACCATTACAGAACCACCTGCCTGGAAAGCAGGATGGATCCATGCTTTTGTGTTGTTTGTGACAGTTTATGACTCTACCTTCCAGATGTTGCAGCAGAAATTGAGGTTCATCAGATCAAGCAGCATTTTTCCAACCTTCTGTTGTCCAATTTTGGTGAAATGAAGCTTCAGTTTCTTGTTTTAGCTCACAAGAGTGACACGGGGTGTGGTCTTCTGCTGCTGTTTATTCTCACCTGCTTCAAGATTGGAGGTGTTACACTAACAAAGATGCCCTTTGACATACCTTGACCTTAGCTTTTGAAAAGTGGTTGTTTGAGTTACTGTTGTCTTCCTGTTAGTTTGAAGCAGTCTGGCCATTCTCCTCAAAACCCTGATATCAAAAAGGCCCAGAGAACTGCCACTAACTGGATATTTTCTCTTTCACTGACCATTTTCTGTAAACTCAAGAGAGAGGATCAAGTGGGGAAATTCCAGTAGATCAGTCAATTTGTGTCTTTAGTTTGGTCAGGTTGAATATGCAGAATAACACAACTGCTGAAGATACTCGTTGAAATGGTCTAATCTTTATTGCCTAATCACTCTTTGAGCTTGGCTCTTGTCACACTGTGTCACTGAAACAACCCAGTTGTCTCATATCAATACTGTGTTTGTGTAACTGATTTTCACAGATCTTGTGTAATGCTGATGTGTTTGTGTGTCCAGAGCCACAGGAGCAGGGGGGATGAACCGCGAGGAGGCCCCGGGAAAGTCTCCTGAAGACATGTACATCCAACAGAAAGTGCGGGTCCTGCTCATGCTCAAGAAAATGGGATCAAATGTAAGGAGACACATTGATTACCGCAAAACTTTGCCATTTGAAGTTTCAGATTTAGGCACGCACAACTCATGCACACTGTGGTTATTGCTTTAGTTGGCAAAGACACACATTATAATAACCTGAAATCCATTCCCTAGCCAAACCTTCAACTGATCTATGCAGTTTGCACAGGTCATCACCTAATAATGTTGTTGTTAGAGTGAAACAACAACAGAAGATAGTCCTCAGTTTATTTGGCACACATTTTGTTTGTTCAAGCAATGTGTGCTAAAGGAGCAGAGAGAAGAAAAACAGATCAATTTCTTTGAAATAATTAATGTTAAAAATCAAAATATTTTGGATCTAAATTGCCTCATGGCTGTTTCTGGGAGAATTGCTATGTTTCATTAATCAGCATGTTGAACAGAAGTATTTGACTTAGTCTTTGAGGTCAGTATTTCAATTTGTTTTTACTTTTTTGTGATTTTTAAAGTGACTTTGTTCACTCCTCTTCAGCTTACGCCGAGTGAAGAGGCTTTTCTCCGAAATTACGCAGGTGTGGTCCACAGTCAGATGAGCCAGCTACCGCAGCACAACATAGACCAGGGTAAGGCTGTGACACACACACACACACACACAGTTTAACGGTGCAGTCATTTTAGCTGAAGCATTTTTTTATTAGGAAATATTTGTTCATGTAGTTGCAAAATACATTCATGTGAAAAAGTTTTCTCAGCACTTCATGCTGTTCTGTGAAAAATGAACTATGCCCTTACTGCTTCCATAGAAATTAACAGGGCAAGTAGCCACTAGGTGCTGATAAACAAAAGCACTTTATTAATTGATTATAAAATCAGATCTGTTTGTCAGTTGGCATTAATTTAGGTCTGGAGCATTAGGTGTTTAACACACTGCCACACTCTTCCCTGGAAGAATGTCTCACTAAATTCACCCCAAGGTCAGACTGTTCAATACAGAGAGAAATTGCAAAATATCCAAGAGCTACACATCAGACTCCGCAGGTCTCGGTTAGCATGCTAAATGTTGATGTTCATGGCAATACAATTAGAATAACACTAAACAATTATGGCTAGAAGGGTTGCCAGCAGAAGGCCTCTTCTCTCTAAAAAGAGCTGGGCAGCATGGTGTAGGCTTGCAACACTGCATCTGAAGAAACCACAGGACTTCAGGAACAATGTCCTTTGGACAGATGAGACCAAAGTGCAGATGTTGGTACTCTAGAGTCAAATGCGAGGCCATATCCCTGACAGCTGAAGCTTGGCCCCCACCGGGTCATTCAACGGGACAATGTGTTGCAATGACCCAGACGAAGTCCAGACTTCACCCACATTGAAAAGTAGTGCCAGGGCCTTAGGAGAGCTGTACATGAATGATCTCTGGCAAACTTCAATGAACTGAAGGAACTGTGTAAAGAAGAGTGGGCCAAAATCCCTCCACAATGATGTGAGAGACTGTTGAAGTCATACAGAAAATAATGACTTAAGTTAATGATGCTAAAGGTGGTTCTACAAGCTACTGAACCATGTGGTGTGCTTAGTTTTTCATAGGACTGCAGAAAGATGGTTTTGGCACGCCCCAGTAAGTTTTATCCAGGGTGAAAAGAAAATCACTGTTATTGTAAAAAGACAAATTTTTAACTATCTTTGTTTATCAAATGGCAGCGAAATTCATAGAGATGAGATGAGGCCTCATATTCAACCCCCAAAGGCTCAAAAACCCTGTTGTACTCCTATTTTGCATATCAGTATAGTTCTAATTTTCATAGTTTTTTGTAAATATGTACAAATCAAAGGTGTTTATGGCAGCGTGCTATTGCTAAACATTTATAAAATATTAGCCCACAGACACCACCCTTAGAGGAAAAAATGCCCGACCAAAAACAAGGGGAAAATCCCTCAACACACATCATCCTTTACAGTCTGCACCCCAGCAGGCCGAACTGGTTCGCTGACTGTGCACAGGAGGCCGACTCAGCAGCCCACCAGCGCTGCGAGATTACTCACGGCACAAACAGCATGACTGGCTGGAAACAACTGACTCATCCTCAGCTCAAGCACATCACTAGTTTCTCCTCTGCTTTACTTAATGGATAATATTTTGATGTTTGCTCTGTAAATCACTCTTCATTACAGATGTAACCTTACAAATGCTGGTCATGCCTTGTCGAGACAGCAGAGGATGCTGTTGAGCTTTCTAAACCTGTCTGTGGTGCTCCTGAGCTTAATCCACCTGAGGGCGCTATATTTAACAAAATGTTATATGTGAAAAGGCACTGCAGTTACCTAAAAAAGCAGCAGCATTGTTATTTTATTTATTTATTTGTGAGTAGACTTTAGCTCAGTCCAAAAACACATCTGCGAGCTCGGAGTCCCGCTGTCCTCCTGTGGTGAACCTGCTGGGGCTCCGGTCTTGCTTTGCCCCTTATGATATTGGGTTCCCCAGGGGAGCTTCCAGCTTGGAAAATTGGCTTTGATGCTTCACCCAGAGGGAAGTGTTAGGTGTCCTTGTCTGCGTCCTTGCTCTGTGGGGAAACAATCATGTTTGAATTTAGAAACATCACATTTTCTGCGTCGAAGGGATTAGGCTGTGATTATATAAGGTGTTGAGTAAGGTGCGGGTAAAAGGTACGACGTGCTGTGCCGCGCCGTGCCGCCGAAGTACATTGACATTTTGTTAATCGCGCCCTCACTGTGCAGTGTGGGACGCGACATTGAATTTTTAATATGGGTCATTGCATCACTGATGATGTGTATTTCATTATTAGACTGCGTTCCTTCATCAGGCAGCAGAATATAAAGAACTGCAGCAGACAGGACGTATGATCGTGTCATATATTTCAAACTACAGCACCCGAATGGGAGATCAGTACTGGTTTGAAGTCATTAATTTATGATGTACATTTTTCTTTTTTTAACTGCAGTCTAGCTGTCAGTTTATGCTGCTGTGCTCGCCGCCTCTCACTCCATGCAAAGTCTTTGCTTTGTCAATAAAGCTAGGAAGAGTCTCATCAATTATGGAGGAATATGGCGCTCCAAGTCTGCATTATACATCACAGAAACGGACACATTTAGTGTCATTTGGCAGCATGCCACTTCCTCGGTGTGCCAGTGGATAATTTGTGGTCTGCACTATGTCTGAGGTATTGTGATTAAGCATCGTGCAGATTGCTGAGAGTTAATCTGTTTTAAATATTGAGCGCTGTGCTGAAGGACAGCGGTTTGTAGGGATCAGCACACATGGGATCTTTTCAGTTGGTGTGAAGAGAAAGTCCAGTATTTGATCTCATTTACACTTGGTAATTGGGGAGTAAAAAAAGATGAAAGGAAGTATATTTGTTGCCTGGTAGTGAGTCACACAGCAAGCTGATAAACATAGGTAATTATGCTAATTTTATTCATACACTTTGAGGAAAGGGCGTTTGCACTAGAATGTATTTGAATGTGTATTTCTGCTGCTAGACAAATTCTGAACACCTGTACCGAGAGGTTTGACTCATGCTGTACTCTATCTAGTTTGCACTGCTCACACTTCATTATAATGACAGGAGACCTGTACCATCCCGCCGGATGAACCAGCAGAACTGTCTGTACCAGCGAGTTATCTTCAGTTGTTTGGGGTTTTCTTTGGTTGCTAAATGAGATTGGCAAGGATGTCAACACTGTTACTAAAATGTTGCCATAAGTGAGGGTGGGTCAAGCTGGCAGTTGCATCTCCATAAACTTCTGGTTAATCTCTGCAGCAGATGCTGAAGCTACAGCTTTAATTATTATTCGCTTCGTAGTACTTAAGGGGTTGATATTGATAACGTTTTATTAATACCAGCATCATGATCATGTTGAATTATAGGCCTCATTTTTTTTTTCAATCTCCTTATTGAGTTTTTCTGTCTGGGGAAAAATTGGTCTGCCCATGTTCTCAGCGTCGCGAACGGGTGACACGGTCATCAATACTGGTTTGTGATTATGTGAAACGCAGCGTAGTTTGACCATGCTGACGCAGGATGCTCTGATACCAGCACCCTCAAGGGGTGTCAGCATGGAGCGATAGTGTCACACATGGCGTCATTGATCAGGTGGTGGGGTGCTTAGAGGGCGCTGCGTGCACAGTGGAGTAGTGAAAATGTCCTCTGATGTTATTCGAAATCAAGGTTAGGTTGTCTGCAAGACATCTCCTAAGGTGTAGCTCTACTGATGTGACTGATCCATCAGGGTTGCCGTCTGCTTAGCACGTTCTGGTGCAAAAATGATGTGCAGCAGAGAAGTGTTCAGTCTTCATCACGTCGAGTGGACTGAGTGGGAATGTAGCTCACATGAGACTCATTTTCTCAGACTCTGCTCAACTGCCAGATTTTTTTTTACTGGTTCTTCCTTGTGGGGGAAAAAAAACAACCAAACAAAAAACAATAGAAAATCAGCTTTCTGCCACTCATATTTCTTGTAAGAGTAGGGGTCACTGGATTTGCATTTCAGATAGTTTTAATTGGCTGATTACCATACATGCAAATACAGAATTTTGTTTTGCGATTTTAATCAGGCCAAAGAGGAATTCTCTGCCGAAGGCTCCGTAGCTGAGACGGGGTTTTTTTTCCACACAGCTTTTTAATGTAATGCCTTAATGAAGTTGTTTTTTTTAATCTGCATAGAAGGATAATAAGCTGTGCTTAAATGCTGTTACCATGTTTGGCATTGAAGTGAGAAATCCTGAAATTGTGTTTTTTGGCACTCCCTTTGAGTGTTAATTGCCACTTTTTGACTAATACTGAACAATAACTGTGTCTATTTAAAGCGAATTAACATGTTATGATGCAGAGACCTCGTTGACACACTAGTTGACGCGCAGTAATACAGTGGTTGTCTTTGTAATAGGGCTTTTTATTCCTCCTCTTTAGCTCTTTTATCCACAGCTTTCTGTAATTGGCGTCATGTCACTTTAAACAATACGGTTTGTCAAAACGCTCATAAAGGCAGCAGTCTCGGGGCTTGTTATCCTTTCTGATTTGACGAGGGAAGTTTATTCCTCCCAGAAGGATGCTGCATGGCCTCAACAATAGAGGTGGAGGAGGAGTGGGGTTGCCATGGCAACCTCAGATGTCCCAGGAAAGCTGACCTTCCCTTCTGGGCCTCGGTGGTGTTGTGACGTGCTACACTGGTAGGAGTGGAGCAGGTGTCATGAAAGGGCCAGGCTGGGGTGCTAATTGCACAGCCTGGCTGTGATGTTCGGGTCTCTTTCTGTCTGTCTCATCCATTCATTCACCGCAGCCATGTTTGATCAATATATTCAGACCAGGTCAGAGCACTGAGCAAACCCCCTCCCCCCGCTTTGTTTGGCTTCTTGGCTTGGCCATAGCGGTATTGATCCTGGCTTTATCCGATTCCTCACTGCAGCATGAGTCTGCTGCCCAGCACTCAGATTTATTAAGTACCACGTCTGCCTCAGTTTCTCCTTATATCTCTATTCCAATTCTGCCAGAAGGTGTGTTAGAGTATGTCTGAAAGAACTGCTTTATGATCTCCTTAACCAAAACTGATTTTTAGTTCTTTTCTCTAAAAACAAATGTTGTTACAAACAGATCAAATCTATCTGTAC